AAAATTGTTGCACTGAACCCAGTTTCAGTTGCAGCGACTGGCATTTGAATTGGAGGGAAAGAGGCGGTTTTTTTGAAAATATTGATCAGGTCATACAATGCCTTCCATGACTCAGTAACTCACGTGTTTCAGTCCGTGAATTATAAGTACTGCCAGATTTCGCCTGAAGAGACATGAGGTAGTCTTCACAAATATATTTTAGGCCACCAAATGGGGAGCACAATCCAGATGACTTCTTTCTAGTGTGCTATTAATTTTCCCTCGTGATTCAGAGTCTAGCGGCGCGCCTACAGTGAACGTGGACACAGTCGGTCGAACACATCCGCTTCGGAGATGTGGTAATCAAACCGTAACCCGGCGCCTCTGGATGAATTATCTTGCATCTCAGTATGATATCCAAAAAGTAGTTACGGCAGAGGGACCGCCAATCTGGACAGAGTGTTCTGTGTCCACAATGCTTCCATGTGAATTCCATTTTCAAATAAAAAAGGGGTTTATAGGACTAATCCTAGACAGCTCACGATATTGCGAATCGGCCGCCATGAAGAGAATGAACCTTACGGTTTGTGTACCTCCGCGACCCATTTAGCTAAAGAGTAACGACAAGACCTTTGGGCTGAATACTTCTAACAGCAGCTATTATGACCACCAGCAGTCACTAATCTGGAGCCCACAGCTGGTACAGAAGCCTGGATGGTGAGCGTGGAACCCCCTACGGTTTAGGTGGTTATCGACTCCATATGTTCTCTCAAGTGCCACCAAGCTCCTGGTTCGGATGACCTCCCACCCGCATTGTTCAAGGATGGTTGTAACGGTTGTAACGATAGTTTTGGCGTCATTTGTGCTTCGTCACCTTATGGTGGTTCATGAAACAAAGAATCGAGTGGAGCAAGCGGAATTCCGGCCAGGTATGGGTCGCATTCACCAAATCATCACACTTCGTCAGGTACCAAAACAACGCCAGGCGTACAAACTACCCACAATTTTGGTATCACTGGATTTCTAAGGCGCACTCAGTTCGGTTGACCGGTATGTTCCTACAACGTTTACCCATTGAGGAATGCCCTGGAAGTTTGTGAACATAATAAGCTCCCGATATTCTCGCACTTCCAGAGGCGTGAGCATATACATAAAACGGTGTTCTCCATGAGCGCTCACTGTCTCCATTCCTATTTGATGTCGCGGTCGATAAGATAATAAGATAAATGCTGGAAGGTCTTCAAAACCCCGGTGTTTAATAGCCTCTCACCTTGTCAGACTGTAAACCGGTAGGCTGTCTGTGATCCAAACTTTAGTTCTGCTAACCGGTGAACTAAGTATACTTGGGGTCTGGGCCGGTCTCGCTGAATTTGACGTTTCTCATATTGTTTGATTTTATGTCGGCTGTTTCAGTTGTTACGAGTGTTTTTTGGGATTTGTGTGTTGGTCCCAGTTTATTTGTGTCCCGTGATGTCCGCATGTTCCTCAAAACGGGGGGAGGGGAAGTGGAGTAATTCCGCCAGCCATAGCATTCCCAAATTTTGGTTATTAACACTAGCTGACACCTGTTTCTTACTGAGCAAACCGCTTTTCCTTATTACGGATTATTCTGCTTTGTGAGCAGACACGTAATATGTCAATAACTGACAGTAGAAACCCTGGTTATCCCGTTTACTACTTATGAGTAGTTGTTGCTTTCAGCGACTGCGGCCGTGTCCAAAAGGCATCTGAATTCCTATATCGATCTTGTCCCATACATACTGAAACACTGATTCAAAACGTTGATATATTCAGTTCATGTTCGATGGCTGTTCACCTGAAACTGTTTGCTTTGAGGATTAGCACTATGGTTTGCGGCATTCAGGGTAACATGTTTACAAAACTCCATTTGTGTGTGGAGATGCAACACCGTCTGGAAAATATTGGGGTATATTCGACTAACCGATGTTGCTTCTGAACTCAAGGCGTTTCGGTGTGTAGCGTGCAAGTGTAGAATTTTGATGAAACGATACGCATCACTTGATGCTGTTCACGTGACAAAACTTTAGCTGATTGCTCAAACATTTTGTGGCTATAATCTGATACAGATCTTCTAATATCAATCCACAAACAGTGGCCATGTGTTCCACCCATCGTTGGTCAGACTCCGGTCAAGCTGGCTAAAGCGCATCGTAGAAATAAGCTCAGAGATACCCCCATATTATGTGGGAGCAGGAACATTTCAGGTCTAACTTGCGATCGAATCATCCGATCCATTAAACGGCTAGTACCGAATATAGTCGGTTTGGTTTTCAAAGACGCCGAAATTTATGTGGGAGCAGGAACATTTCAGGTCTAAATAGCGATCGAATCATCTGATCCATTATACGGCTAGTACCGAATAGAGTCGGTTTGGTTTTCACAGACGCCGAAATCGTTGCCAAGCAACGGAGTTGAAATTTCAACCAGATGTTTATGATAACGTTTTGGTTGGAGACTGCAACCGCATGAGGCTTTTAGTACATCATGTGTATCAGCTTGCCTTTCAAGGAGCGATGGTCTAAACAGCTCCGTGAGTTTTCCATCTACAGCCTTAAAACTGTCAAGAAACACTCTCTTACTTAGGTTCTCGAGATCCAACTGAACGAGACTTTCACGTCGCTTGAAAATTGGTTCTTTAGTACCGACTGTTTTTAACTGGCCATGTTTTGGGAAGCAGAGTTTGTTTTTCTAGAGTTCTTTACTGAGTAGTTTACTCAAATCTACATGACCGAAACAAGTATTGCTTGAAGTTCTTACCCCATTTCCTCCCATGACCCTGTTATGTTCCGCTGCTTGTGGAAGAAATACCTGAGTTTTATGACCCGCAGTACAAAGAATGAAGAAGAAAGGTGTCTAGCGAACATACACTCATTTGCAAACAAATTTGGCTTTGTGAGAGACTCACCTGGAACCCAGCTGAATCTCTCGCTTTTGATGTTTCCAGCCAACTGAATGTGCTGCACCAGGCCGCCTCATGTTTTGGTCGCTACGACATTCGAGATATCGTGTACGTGTATATACGTAATGCACTACACATAAGGTTGCTGAAAATTTTTCGACTAATTTGTAGAAGGAGTAACAGATGAATTTCCAACCTGAACTGAATCGGGCCAGCGAGTTGCTGTTTGTTCTTAGTCCACGAATGCCAGAAGAATCCAATTGGTCAGATGGAGTTTTGTGCTGATTGGTTATTGATTTTTCTGCGTATACAAGCGTTCGCTTGGTTAGTGAACATTTTTGGGATCACACTGGAGATTAAGTGAATTGTGTTCATATTTGTAATGTGCTACTCATAAGGTTGCTGAAAATCCATCGACAGCCCACGACCGGTTTCGCCCTTCTTGGGGCTCATCAGGTAGGCGCAGTCCCCGGGTTTCCGTCAAACTTATGTTGTGTTCAACTTACTAGGAACGGCACTTCAACCGATGGTCTCCTAAGCGATCTCATTTCTTTTTGCTCACGTGGACACAAATATTGAACGACAATGTTGTGTTTTCAGAGCCGGACGTGCGGCGACTTTAGTGTTTGGTGACATCTCCATGGATCATATTCCGACAAAACTGTACTATGTTTTCTTGGCCAAGAATTCACCAGCCCCCAGCCACTGGACTATTCCGATTTCAGGGTGAGTAATTTGACATGAATTGATACACAATTTCCCAAGGTTTTACTGCTACGCTACGTCTGGCTTATTTTATCGTCTAGTGTCAGGCGGACAATACGTACGATACACAATTGTCAGCTCGTATAAATACTTTGAATTTCATATTGATCGACAGATTTGAATCCCATGGTACTCGTATAAAGTCCCAATGGCACATGACTAGATGCAGGCAAGTGATGTCACTGCCTTCATATTCCATCAACGCATCAATGACTATTTTCTGTCCATGGTATAAAAATTATTGCATTTTCTGTTTCACTAGAATTTCTTTCGGTACCTTCATTGTCCCGTTAACGTTTTTTTTCAACTACAAACACATCCCCATACTGGATTTAGACCTTCAAGTAATGTGTGACTCGAAGTTATCGTCCAACTGAATGAGTTTGACAGGCAAAATCCACCAGGAAAACTACGTAGCTAGTTGGACTGCCTGTTCTGTGGAGTCCAAAGGCGTCAAACTTCTAAACGAGATTGTGATCCCGAGTTGCAAGCACAAACTTTCAAATTTTCAAAGGGGAGGCTAAAACATGGATCGGTATGTATGGAAATATCTACTGGCTATCCATATCTGAGCGATGCGCAAGACGGGATCTGGTTTTTACGGTTTACTCTGTGGGGTGTAACTAAACCACGTTTCTTAAGACTCCGACATTTGAATTGGCTACTGGTTACACTATGTTATTCCTGAGATAGGAGTCAGCAGAAGTGGTGCACCACAGGCGAAAGACGGTCTGGAGCGCAGCCACGTCTGATAACCACACTGAAAGCAACCGCCTTAGCTTTACTGGGATAGGTTGACCGCGGTTGAAAACGCCTGCTTACCGTCTGTACTCGGCCCACGTTTGGCCAACATTCACCACCAATTCAGGCGGTTACTCGTTGCTTTTCACTACAGAGTGCTCCACCTCTCCTGAATATTTCGGTTCTACCTCAAAATAAAATCGATAATTTTAAGCCTAGATTATTCATTTCTTGGATCCAACAGTCCGCCTTCAAGCCCAAGACAACAAATATGGGTCATTAGCGGATATACACTCATTTGCAAACTAATTTAGTTTTTCGAGAGACTCAGCTGGAACCCAACTGAATCTCTCGTTTATGATGTCTTCAGGCAACTGAATGTGCGGCACCAGGCCCCCTCATGGTTCAGTCGCTACGATATTCGAGATGTCGCGATAAATGTGCATCTTCGTAATATACATGAAACATGAGGTGGCCTGGTGCAGCATATTCAGTTGCCTGAAGACATCACAAACGAGAGATTCAGCTGGGTTCCAGGTGAGTCTCTCGAAAAACCAAATTACTTTACAAATGAGTGTATATTCGCTAATTTCGTGCAATTTGGTTTCAAGTAGAACATAAGGTTGACGGAAACCTGGGCACTGCGCTTACCTGATGAGCCTCAAAAAGGGCGAAACCGGTCGTGGGCTGTCGACGGATTTTCAGCAACCTTATGAGTAGTACATTGCAAAGATAAACATGAGTCATCTTTTGCAGTCTTATTTCGGCCAAGTGTTTGCCATCGTGGAATAGAGAACATGCTACATGAATTGGCCAGAAGCAAGTGGATGATTGAGTTCGTGTTAAATCCTGCTGAAATTCAGCAAGAGATTTTAGTGTAACTTCCAGAAATACCGATAACGAGTTCAA